CAAAAAAATAATTTTTTGACCTTAATTGGCTTTTTTGAGGCCATCCAAAGATCATAGCGGTCTAAAACTATTTTTTTATTATTCTACGTCCACGAAATATATAGACTAGAGTATAATCATGCTTGTCTACCCAGAATAAAAATTTAAATCAAAAAACTGACCGCCATTTTGAAAAAATGGAGATTTTTTTTAGTGCCAATGAGAAAAGTCGATGGGTCCTCGACTCAAATCGATTAAAATGGTCTACTTAGCAACAGTGCCAAATTTCATGCTTGTATCATCAAATGGCGTTTTTTTTTCGCTAAGCAACGTACCAGTAGAAAAGGTTTGTGCTGCCAACATAGTTACTAAATTTTTGACTTGGGGAATTATCTTTAAAAAAAAAACAGATTTTAGTTATTGAAATTTAATTAAAATAAAGTTATTCCCTCTCTGCTAGAAGCCCTAAATATACTTCATCTTCACTGGTTTCACTGCTGCTGCTACTATCCACCAATTGCCATCAACAAGCGATTTGACATTTTTGGTATATAGGTAGTAGATTCGCAGACAAATATAAAGAACACAATTAATAGTTATTTATTCTATCGCGAATGGTAAACTATCATTTAATCGACTCAAAACTCGTTGTTAAAGTAACACTTTATTTGAATTAGTGAAATCGAACAATTTTTACCAACTCATTTGTCAATTTTACCCACTCGTACGTCAATTTTACCCACTCATATGTCAATTTTACCCACTCGTTCTCTTCTTTTATTATAATTATAGTGTTTTTGACAGAAATCTGATATGTTGCATGATTGATAACACCAGAAATGTGTCAGTTTGTTAGGTAGTGGTTAGGTACTTTGTCAATTTGTCATAATTTAGCACATTTTAGTTTATGATTTTAGTAATGGTGATAAATAAAAAGTGGCTCAAGAATAAAATAGAATATTACACACAACGGTAAAAAAGCTTTACCTGTTCGTGGAATTAATCCAATCGCTCCTTCGTCGCTCGTGAATTAACATTTTCCACTCACAGGTAAAGCATCTTTTTACCGTCTTGTATAATAATAGTTATTTATTATACAAGACGGTAAAAAGATGCTTTACCTGTGAGTGGAAAATGTTGATTCACGAGCGACGAAGGACCGAGTGGATTAATTCCACGAACAGGTAAAGCTTTTTAACCATCGTGTGTAGTATTCTATTTTATTCTTGAGCAACTTTATTTATCACAATTACTAAAATCATAAGCTAAAATGTGCTAAAATTTTACATAGATTATGACAAGTTGACAAAGTACCTAACAAACTGACATATTTCTGGTGTTGTCAATCATGCAACATAACATATTTGTGTCAAAAACACTATAATTATTATAAAAGATTTGAACAAATGGGTAAAATTGACGTATGAGTGGGTAAAATTGATGTATGAGTGGGTAAAATTGAAAAATTAGTGGGTAAAAGTTGTTCGATTTCATTACTTCGAATAAAGTGTTACTTTAACAACGAGTTTTGAGTCGATAAAATGATAGTTTACCATTCGCGATAGAATAATAGTTATTGTTTATACAAGACGATAAAATGGTAGTTTATCGTTGACCGGAAAAGTTAATTCACGAGCGGAATCGCGAGTGAATTAATTCCAGGAGACGAAAATGGCATTTTAACGTCGTGTGTAAAACAAAGTTTTTTTCCATAGCCTAATTATGGACGTCTGTAGTATCAAAAATATTTAGAAATTATTCGAGTCGAACACTTATAGAAATTTGTTTGACACACTTTGACAAAAAAATAAAAAACAAAATGTGAATATATTTTTAACAAAATAAATGTTTTTACCTATCTATCCTTGCTGTTAAAGTATCATTTAATCTACCCTTGCGGTTAAAGTACTACTTTATCTACAATTTTTAGTAGGTAGATTAAAGGCTACTTTACCAGTAGCTATGGGAAAAATATAGAATTTGGAGCTGTTTTTTTATGAAAAACCATCAGCCACCAATAACCTCAATTTCAAAAATAACAATAAACAACTGCACTGAGTGCGACACGAGCTTTTTAGCCGGTGGCGCACCAACAGCACTCAGTGCATTGCTTTTCCAATGAAATACAAAAGTGCAGCGCTTTCTGTGACAGCGCGAACTCTGCCAATGGATCACGAATATTGAACCAGTATTGCACTTGCTCTACCAAAGAAATAGGCTATAAGTATGATGTGGTTAGACACAGCCCTCTACACTTACAAGCCATGAAGTTAAAAAGGCAACACCGCAATCTTACCGCCAAGTGGTGCTGTTTTATTTAACCTCAATTCCCCGTATGGTTTATTTACTTTTATTGATGATATGAATTCTTATCTCAATTACATAAAAAAGTAGTTTTCTTTGAAAAAATATTAGTAGTTAGTAAAATTATTGTAATATTACCAATATTTTGTACATATTAATCACACAAAATGCATCATATTGTACTAAAAAGTAAAAACAGTAATTCAATGAATAATATAAATATTTGTGTAAATAAGAACAGTAAATAATTGATTTAAATAAATATATTACTAGATTCTAAAGTGTTATAATCCTATATCTATTTTATATGTACAAGGTCTTGTCAAACAATTCTATACAACTAGCAACTACCTATCATGTTAAAAAAATAAATACTTTCTAAGAATTCGGGAAAGCTACCCTTAAAACATACCTCTATTATTATTTTTAGTACCTAGGTACATTTTTTTTCTATTTCAAAGTGGTTAGTTTTCTTTTTTTACTTGAATCTGTTTTATTTTTATGACATTCACTATTTTTAAATTTTGTGTAGTTGTTTAAAATAATATTACTCATTATCAAAGAAGCAAAGGAGTAAATTTTTTTTGAGTTAGCACCACATTCACAAATTTTGTTCAAATCAATATTAAAGGTATCGGACTCTAAAGCTAATAAAGTAAGCTGCGATAATAAATTATGATGATCATTTGTTTTCAGGAACATACTTTCAAGATCTTTGTTATTAATTATATACTCGAAGATAGCACAAAGATGAAAATAAATAAACTTGGTTTCTTGAGTGGCAATACAGAGACCCCCTCTCTGCAGAGAATTAAAATATGTATGATCCGTCTGGATGCCTTTTGCTAGAACTACTAAACTTTGACATTTATCACATTTATTATTCTTCAAAACTGATCGAGCCATTCTTTCATAGGTAGATGATGACTGACAAAAAATAATAAGTGAAAACAACATAGTTGGCATGCTATATCTTTTCTTTTTACAATCAAGTAAAAAGAGTTGATTCAATAATATTCCTAATAAGTTTTTGTACTCACAACCTTCATCAAGTTTTTTGATACCTTCTTGAAGATAATACTGAGCTTTTTTAAAACAATAAATTGAATCTAAAGAAATGTCATTAACAAAAGTGTATCGAGTCAATAAATTTTCTATTTGGGACCACCAATTCTTGGCTAACACTTACACTGGAAACAATTTTCAAATTTTCAATATCACAGTCATATCCATCACGATCAATATTTAACATATAAAAATGTACAAATGTCGAAGATACTTTACATTGCCATTTATTCAGAGTTATTTTAGTTTCAAGAAGTTTTACAAAATTTTCAAAGCTTGGAATCAGATCACTTTGAAGATAATTTTCTACAGTTTCGGTATGTCTTTTAACAATATCACTTTTTCTAGCTTCAGGATTTTTTCGGATGGTAGGGGCAGGTCTATTTAAATATTTGGGCTGGTTTTCGAAAATATGTGGTACAGCGTTGCTTTTGAGGATTGGACGTTTAAGTTTGTGTTCTCGACTTACTCCTTCTTTATCTTTGTATGTTTCAAATCTAATGATTTCATTTTTTTCAAAATGTTTCGCACACACTACAGAATTTTTTGTTACCGTATAATTATCTCGGTGTATAGCTTTTAGCCATAATTTCTGTAATTCGGAAGTTTTTGGAAATGAAAATGTTGTTTGCAGTTCCTCAGTCTTCAGGGAACTCCTATAGTTGGATTTGCACCTCGGCACACAGCAGTTTCTTGGCATCTGGAACAAGTTTAAATATCTTAGATAATAATAATATCGAGACCTATACATGTGCTCTTGCACTTTGCAAAGTGGAAACAAATATTATATTGTTTTTATTTGCTTTTACCTTAACTCACCTTAATTTTTGCTCCTGTACCGATTGCAGTATTTGCTATAAATTCACAATCAAAACACAACTAATAATGGCATAACAGGTATGAACCAAATATAAACAGTAAGTAAACAATATATTGGTGTTTCTAGCCACTTTTTCGTTTGAAAATGCACCTCACTCTATCAATAAACAATGAAAACAATACACAGAAACATATAACCTCAATAGCAAAATAGCACCATTGGCGACGTTGCCGTTATTTCCAACTTCATGGCTTGTAAGTGTAGAGGGCTGTGGGTTAGAGCATATTCAAACCCCTGATTATTTTTAACGGCTGTCAAATGGGAGCAAAAGTACCGGCACCCAAAGTTATGTATATTACCCTATCAGATTTGCTATTGAGTATTTGTAGGTATGGTAACATTCGGTTGTGTCAGGATTCCCACTCCTCCATTACTGCTATTATCATCACCTTTGTAGGACGTGATTTGATTTAAGTCTTAGACATTATTATCCTCTTCTTCTGACTTCCAGTAAGAAGTTTACACTTCAAAAAATAAAATATCATAGTTATATACGTACATATTTGATACATTATCACATCAAAGTAAGTATATTCAGTTTTTACTAAGTGATACGAAAAAACCTGGCATCCATTGAGATGAGAGGGCGTTTTCAGTCACGTGATTTTTTTGTTAAGATCTGCTATTTTTATTTATTAATTTATTTAATAATCTCACTGAAATCTTGCAAAATATTGTTCATTCTCGGTCGCATTTAAGTATGTATCTGCCTCAAAAAAATATCATAATTTGCAATATTTTCAGCACCTGAAAATGACCTACTGTTTTCTAGATCCATATTATCTCCCGTTTGGAACCACGCCACATTGAACTTCCACTTCCAGAAGGCGCAGGCCCACTACCAAATGGAAGCAATCAACATTCTTCCAGAATCATTAACGGTCGTGATGCTGCACCAGGTACTCTCAAATACCAGGCGGGTTTGGTCATAGATAATCGTGGATTCTGTGGTGGCTCTTTGATCAGACACAACTTCGTCTTGACTGCTGCTCATTGCGTTGACGAGTACGTATTTTATATTTAAAATGTTGGAATAACTGAATCTTTTTTTAAATTTAGTGCTTCTTCAACTCAAGTTGTCCTTGGCGCACACGACATACATAAACAACTCAACACCCAACAAGTAATAGTCTCCAGAATTCATTATGTACATTATGGATGGGATAGGAGCACCTTGTCCAATGACGTTGCCCTGATCAAAATTCGTAGCGTAGCAAATAATCCTTCCGTTAGAATTATTCCATTGGCTCCCAAAAATGCAGTTGATTTTGCAAATTCTCATGCTACACTCTCTGGATGGGGTAAGGAACTTTAAATTATGATCCTCTCACGTGTATTGGCTGGTATGCACTTTTCAAGAGTTGAGGAAGGGATATTTTATTCCGTGCAAAGTTTGTTCAAATCCTTCAGTGGAAAGCACTTTTGGCCCTACGACATTATCAGTGAGACTTTCCTCAGTGATATAAAGAAAAGCCAAATTATTGTGAAAGTACAAGTCAGATGAGTACGAAATATCATTTTGGTATTTTTGTTTTTTTTGAAATTCCTGAAGATTTTTTTTCTAAACTTGAAAAGCTCAGCGTCTGTTTAGTTTTTCTAAGGGGAGCTTCATGTTTTTGATATGTGATAAATTCAATTTTTTTAACTGTGACTATTGTACCAATGTCCCTTTACAATCCTCAGGGTTCTTTTATACACAATCAAAACCAGCTATATGTATTGTCTATGAATGTATCCATCATCTTTAGAATAATGTTACCGCATAATTTCAGCCAGTTAAAAAAATTGAATTTGAAAATAAATAATGAACTTAAGTATTTTTTGTCTAATACAAAAAATATATTTTTGTAGGAAGAATGAGCGACGACAGCAACCAAATCGCAAACTACCTTCAAGTGGTCCAACTTAAAATCATGACCAACAGAAGATGCAACCTTAACTTCTTGGGTGTTATCCAGTCACAACACATTTGCACTCAGGGTAGCTACGGTGACTATAATGCTGGAGCTTGCAACGGCGACTCTGGTGGTCCACTCGTGGTCAGCGGCCTTCAAGTTGGTATTGTATCTTTCGGATTCCCGAGATGTAGTGCTGGAATGCCATCCGTATACGCTAGAGTATCAGCTTTCGCTGACTTTATTGAGTCTGTGGTTGAACGTCATTAAAGCTTTTAAAATGATTATGTCTAAAATAAAGTTTATGTGTTTATGAATTTTCGATTTTCTTATTTACAAATAATTCCCTAACCCATTTTTCAATCTCTAGAGTGTCCTGAATTCGCAATTTTTCGACAACGATAAGTTTTTGAATCAGAATGAGAACGATCAGCTCAAATGTTAAAGAGGGGAGGGGGTGTTGAGCTTATTTGCCCCTGATGATGAGACTATACAGAAGGATATATAGGGCTCTTCAACTCATTGAAGTATTTGTGGAGGAACTGGAAGACTGTGTTTTTTTTTTTTTTGAATTAAATTTAAACTCCACTCTGGGAGATGGACTACTTGTTCAATTTGAAATATTCATTTTCTAAAACTTTGTTTTATTACACAAACTACCCAGGCTTGTATGAGAAAAAAAAAACCAAGGAAGGAGTTATAAATTTTGAAATTTGATTAGTAAAATAGGTATTTATGTCATACCATTACATTATTGTGTTGTTATATCTTAGATACCATCTAGATAATTATTCATTACTTTATGCCCGTGCGGGCATAAAGTACACATTATGGCCCGCGCGGGCATAAAGACGCAAAAAACAGTTTTCGATTAACTTATTCTTTATTAACAAAATATTACGTTTATATATTATTTTTTGTACAACTGTCAAAAAATGATGATGTTTGCACACTGATGACAATTTGCGAAGTGACACTTTTTTCAACCCCATGGTATGACATAAAAGTTTGTATGCATCACGGGTACTAATAGATATACATATACAGGGTGGCCCATCGAAAACAGCCCATCAAGATTTTGGGCTTTGTATGTGAAAATTTTAAAAAATCCTCGGACCCGTATAATTTTGTTTTCAAGGGGACATACATTGTGCGACGCGTACTCTCCTAAAGGTACGGTTTGTTAGGATAGTACGCGACGCACAACATCACAGTAACTTCAACCCCTTAGCGGGGGTGGCATTCACCCTTATTTTTTCAAATGGGAAGGGGTATGTTGTGATACATCTTTTGAGAGGGCATTAAATTTTCTTTAAAATGGCGCTTCGTTTTTGAAATTTGTAATATGGGTTGCCGAGAAATTTAATCAAATTAATATTGATTAGTACTTACGTGTTATCTTATTAACTGTTCAAAATGTCCGCCGTTCACCTGCATACAATAGTACAGCAACTGTTCAAAGTGTGCTCGGACATTGTGAAGAATATCAGGTGTAATTAGTCGACATTCATTGGTAATGCGGTTCCGTAAATCTTCTAAGGATTCAGGCTGGGTGGCGTAAATTTTCGATTTCAGATGTCCCCACAAAAAGAAATCAAGGCGAGATAAATCGGGTGTTCGCGCGGGCCATTCGATAGCACCCCTCCTTCCAATCCATCCAGGAAAGTTTTCGTTGAAAAACTCCCGTACAGCTAATGCATAATAGGGAGGAGCCCCATCTTGCTGAAATATCGGATTTACTTCATGATAACGTTGGTCGTTTTCCATAATTTCGATCAGTGCTGGGTTGACGGCATGCTCCAGCAAGTCTAAGTAAGTATCTCCATCCAAATTTCCCTGTGTGAAATATGGCCCAATAATGTGATCACCAAAAATACCAGTCCAAACGTTTAATTTTTGAGGATGTTGAGTGTGAGCCTCATGGTAAAGCCTTGGATTCGTGTCGGACCAATAACGACAGTTATGTCGATAAACAGTGCCATTGAGAAAAAATGAACATTCGTCTGAGAAGCAAACATTAAAAAGGTAGTTGGGAGTATGTGTAATTATTTCGGACATTATTTCACAAAATTGTAAACGGCGCTCATTATCATCTTCATTCAATTCGTGAAGAAGTTGAATTTTATATGGGTACCATTTATTATGTTTCCGAATTCTCTGTAAAGTGGTCCGAGAAACACCTGTTACATCAGAAAGTTTTCTGGTACTCAATCTAGGGTTCATAGTAACTTGACCCAGAACAGCTACTTCTACTGCCTCAATTCTCACCGGATTTTCAATATCCCGTTTTCTGTTTCTCACTGAACCAGTTAGCCGGAATTTTGCTACTAGTTCTAGGACGTAACCATGATGCACGTTTCTTTCTGCATGCCTCTCATTGAACAAAGTTGCCGTTACTCTTGCACATTGATTGTTAATAAAATACAATTCAATAATTTCCACTCTCTCCGCAATAGAATAAACCATTTTTTATCGAATGTACACCAAAGAAAATCCCAGAAATATTGAACTATCCACATCAACTACTTCACCGAAGATAAATTTGAATTGTCGACTGATATTTGTTACTTTAAAAACGATTTTTTGTTCACGAACCTATTTGTAAATAACAGATGCAGTAAAATGTTTGAAATTCCATTGCTCGGCGACGCGTAGCTCAAATTTAAATAACGAAGCGCCATTTTAAAGAAAATTTGATGCCCTCTCAAAAGATTTATCACAACATACCCCTTCCCATTTGAAAAAATAAGGGTGAATGCCACCCCCGCTAAGGGGTTGAAGTTACTGTGATGTAATCAATGTGTAAATATGTCCCGCTAGTTATATCACGTCTATTTGCTGAGTCCTCATTTAAAATGCTTATTCTGCTTTTCAGCTTATTATAAATATATGTATTTTCTTAGGATAGTTAGTCAGTTGAAATTTATTATACTTATAACTTTTATTGTAACGTGCTTTCGCTAGTAATAATTTCGAATTGTTAATAAAGTCATTTTTTAAAAACCAACCCTCGGTTGCTGACTTGTTAACTGGCGCAGTCGACAGGACGTGTTTTTTCGGGACTGTTTATCGGTTCTTCGGTATTCGGACTAACCGAAAAAATCGGACTTACGTTAATTGTTTACTGTGAGGTGTCAGAGTGGCTTTCTAGATATCGAAACACCCAGTTCATCGTGAACCTGTTACCTCGAAGTAATCGGAGTTTGGAACCAAATTGTCCAAATCTCGCAAGGACCAAGAACCATTTGGAAGGACCATATCGCCAACCAAACCTCTGGGACTTATAGCAATGAAATTCTTCTTATTCAGTCTGTAAGTGCAATTTAACTTATGTCTGACGTCGATGAAATAATTGAAAAATTGAATAATTTATCATTACCGCCTTCAACTGACTCATCTTCTGATTCGGAAGATTTAATTAGAATAATTAATCAAACATTTTCTGAAAGTAACGGTGCCGAAAGCACATCTTTTGATAATCAAAACATTTGCATTGTTCCGAATTTAAACTCTAACACTATGGCTCATTTCAAGCCAGAGTACCTTAGTTGTGTACCACAATTTGACGGAAATCCGAATGATTTGAACAGATATTTATCAGTATGTCAAAGCCTCATTGATGCTTTCTATAATGCTGCTCAACCAGATAGTTTTCAGAACATTTACTTGCTGAACTCGATAATCGGTAAATTAACCGGTAACGCAAAATTAGTTTTGGGAACCCAAAATGTAACAACTTGGGACCAACTTAAAACTATTTTGGGCAGGCATTTTGCTGACCAGCGCGATGAAGCTTGTTTAAATCGCGATTTAGTAATGCTTAGGCAACAAAATGGTGAAAAACCTAGCAAATATTACGATGGTATTTTACATATTTTAAATCTTTTATGTTCCTACGTGGATATTCATGAAACAAATGACGCTGCAAAATTGCTGAAACGTAGTTTATACAATGATTTAGCTTTAAAAACATTCTTATCGGGCCTAAGGGAACCATTAGGCACGACAATTCGTTGCATGCGTCCACTAGACCTTCCGCAAGCTCTACAATTTGTTACTGATGAGTATAACACTCAATATTTCCAGAATTTTTCTAAACCTCATACACAAAAAGCCATACAACACAATAAAACAAACACACAATTTAGAAACACACATTTTAACCCAGGATTTAATAGTCAAACATCTAACAATTTATTTACGGCTAAGCCAACATTTCCATCTCAGCCTATTGCTGTGAAACCAAATTTTAACAAAATCCCACAAAGATTCCCTACCAATTCCCAAGTATTCAAAAATAAATCCAACACAAACTCAACAAATGTATTTAAACCCAATCAAAATAGAACTTTCCCAAAACCTACTCCTATGTCAACAACTTCGAGGCAAACCTTCAATGCCAATGCTCAACAACCTTCTAGAAATTATTTCCAGTCCAACCAACCAAGTAATTTCATAGCTGAAGAACTATATAATACGAACGTAGTCGACGACGTTAACGAACCTCATGTTGACATTAATGAAAGTGACCCAGAATCCCTATACTACGATTCATCTAATTTTGACCAACTATATGATTCCGAGTCTAATTATAACACCCAATATGCTGAGTCTGCTGATGACAATAATGCAACTGGTTACTCTTATGATAACGCAAATTTTCTGAATCATGCCTCGGAAAATCCCCAAACTTAACACCCGAAATAATATCGTTGAATAATGCTTCTACAAGCGAGCTTCCATACATTATATTCCCAGAACACAATTTAAAAATTTTAATAGATAGCGGTTCCACTAGATCATTTATAAATCCTGAACTAGCTCAAAAATTGTACCCGGATAATATATTTGATGACCCATTTATTGTCTCCACCGTTTTTCAACAATCAGCACATAAGTACAGTGCTCAAATTCCCGCACCTACAATCTTTAATTTACCACATAATAAACCTCTAAAATTCTACCTATTTAAATTTCACAACATATTCGATGGTTTATTAGGGCTTGATAATCTTAAAAACTTGCAAGCCAACATTAATTTTGATACAGCATTTCTAGTAACTCCACATGCAAGAATTAAGTTGCAGTTCCATAAAACTGACACATCAATATATAATGTTACTGTTTCTCCTCGAGTTGAACAACTTGTGAAAATTAAAACTGATATACAAGACGGCGAGGTTATTATACCCTACCAGAGGATACATAACTGCGAAATTCCCAACTCGCTGAGTATCGCAAAAAATGGTTATGCTATTACTAGCATTTTGAATAACACTTGCAAACCAATAACCCTTGATATTTCCCAACCATTTAAGGTAGAACCA